AAATGTCAGTGGGAAAATGTAAAATGCCCTGTCACAGTGGTAGTCAAGGAACAAAAAGGCCCATTTTTTGGTGATCAGTGTAAAACTGGCCCCTTTTATTGGATGTCACTGGGAAATTGTCCCCCTACATCGATGGTCAATTGAAAATGCCCCCTCACATTGGTGGTCGATAAAGAAAATGCCCTTTATTGGTAATTAGTGTAGAAGTGACCCCCTTACATTGGACTTCAGTAGGAAATTGTCAGCCTTCCATTGGTGGTCAATAGAAATATGTCTCCTCATGTTGGTAGTCAATGGAGAAAGACTGCCTTAATGACAGTGATCAGTGTAGAAGTGACCCCCTACATCAGTGATCAGTGTAGAAGTGACCCCCTACATCAGTGATCAGTGTAGAAGTGACCCCCTACATTGGATGTCAGTGGCAAATTGTCTCCTTACATTGACGGTCAATAGAAAATGCCCCCTAACATTGGTGATCAATGGATAAAAAGGCCTTTTTTTTTGGTGAGAGGTGTAGAAGTGACCCCTTTTATTGGATGCCAGTGGGAAATTGCCCCCTTACATTGATGGTCAGTTGAAAATGCCCCCTCACATTGGTGGTCAATAAATAAAACATGGGCAGCACAGTGGCTAAATGGTTAGCACTTCAGCCTGGCAGTACTGGGGTTGTTGGTTTGAATCCGAGCCATGGCATCACCTGCCTGGAGTTTGCATGTTCTCCCTGTGCCTACGTGGGTTTCCTCCAGGTACTCCAGTTTCCTCCCACACTCCAAGGACATGCTGGTATGTTAATTGGATCCTGTCTAAATTGGCCCTAGTATGTATGAATGTGAGTTAGGGACCTTAGATTGTAAGCCCCTCGGGGGCGGGGACTGATGTGAATGTACAATATATATGTAAAGCACTGTGTATATTGACGGCACTATGTAAGTACCTAAAATAAATAAATAAATCCTTTTCTGGTAATCAGTGTAGAAGGGACCCCTTACATCGGACATCAGTAGGAAACTGTCAGTCCTCCAATGATGGTCAATCGAAAAATGCCTCCTCATGTTGGTAGTCAATGAAGAAAGGCTCCCTTAAGGATAGTGATCAGTGTAGAAGTGACCCCCTACATTGGACGTCAGTGGCAAGTTGACACACTTGATGATCAATGGAAAAGAACCTTTTTCTTTGCAGCTTTGCATTGAGTGGGGAAGGGTGAGTCCCCGCTGTGTCCACCCTTCTTTTCTTGTCTTAAGGATCTTTGTCACCGAGACAGAAATTTAGGTGAAATCCAAAGCTTATGAGTTGTCATCTTAGCAAGAGGTCAGGGAAAATCCACCCATGAGGACATTTGTTCTTGTTGACTAAGAATTGGGAAGTTCGTTCTTCTGAGAAAGGAAAATCATTTCCTCCTGTTTCCTGTTTCTAGTAGTTCATAGACTTAATAATAACATGCAATCCCAAGCACCATACTTCCTTGTATTAAGAGAGGTATAGACTCCAGAGAGACATCGTCTGTCCTGTACAAATCATTGGTGCAGTTCAGTTTTGGGCTTCTGTTCACAGGAAGGATATCGAAGAACTGGAGAAAGTGCAACGAAGGGCGACCAAAGTGATAAACGGCATGGAGGAGCTCAGCTATGAGGACAGATTAGAGGAACTGAATTTATACTCTCTTGTGAAGAGGACAGGGGGGATATTAAATCCTGTATAATAATAATAATACCACCACAAAGCTCCTAATTCACTCCCTGGTTATCTCGCTTCCACTACTGCAACTCCCTCCTCATTGGGTTACCTTTACATAGGCTATCCCCCCCCCCCCCCCCAGTCCATCATGAATGTTGCTGCCACGCTCATCCACCTTACCAACTGTTCAGTGTCTGCTACCCCTCTCCGCCGATCCCTCCACTGGCCTCCACCCCTCTATGCCGATCCCTCCACTGGCCTCCACCCCTCTATGCCGATCCCTCCACTGGCTTCCATCCCTCTATGCCAATCCCTCCACTGGCTTCCATCCCTCTATGCCAATCCCTCCACTGGCCTCCACCCCTCTATGCCAATCCTTCCATTGGCTTCCACCCCTCTATGCCAATCCCTCCACTGGCCTCCACCCCTCTATGCCAATCCCTCCACTGGCCTCCACCCCTCTATGCCAATTCCTCCACTGGCTTCCACCCCTCTATGCCAATCCCTCCACTGGCCTCCACCCCTCTATGCCAATCCTTCCACTGGCTTCCACCGCTCTATGCCAATCCCTCCACTGGCTTTCACCCCTCTATGCCAATCCCTCCACTGGCTTCCATCCCTCTATGCCAATCCCTCCACTGGCCTCCACCCCTCTATGCCAATCCTTCCATTGGATTCCGTTCAGTGTCTGCTACTCTTCTCCGCCGATCCCTCCACTGACCTCCACCCTTCTCTGCCAATCCCTCCACTGGCCTCCACCCCTCTATGCCAATCCCTCCACTGGCCTTCACCCCTCTATGCCAATCCCTCCACTGGCCTCCACCCCTCTATGTCAATCCCTCCACTGGCCTCCACCCCTCTATGCCAATCCCTCCACTGGCTTCCACCCCTCTATGCCAATCCCTCCACTGGCTTCCATCCCTCTATGCCAATCCCTCCACTGGCCTCCATCCCTCTATGCCAATTCCTCCACTGGCCTCCACCCCTCTATGCCAATTCCTCCACTGGCCTCCACCCCTCTATGCCAATCCCTCCACTGGCTTCCACCACTCTATGCCATTCCCTCCACTGGCCTCCACCCCTCTATGCCAATTCCTCCACTGGCCTCCACCCCTCTATGCCAATCCCTCCACTGGCTTCCACTCGCCCAGCAAATATTCATGAATATAATGAATATATTTTGAATATAATATTCAAAATATTAAACAAAAACTTACAAAGCCATCCACAACCCTGCCCCCAGCTGACTGGCAGCAGTGACAGGCACAGATTGGCAGCACTGTTGGGAAATGATGGACAGCACTGATGAGGCAGCACGGATAGGCAGCACTGATGGGCACAGATAGGCTGCACTGATAGGCTGTACTGATGAAGGGGCACTGATGAGGAGGCACTGATGATGCTGCATTGATTTGCAGCACTGATGGGCACTGATATGACAGGCACAGATTGGCATCACTGTTGGGAACTGATGGACAGCACTGATGGGCAGCACTGATGGGCACTTTTCGGGCTGCACTGATAATCAGTGCCCTGAATTCTCAGTGCAGATGTCTACTTACTTTCCTTGTGCTGTGACAGTGTGAGGAAAGAACTACCGATAACCGGCAAGTGTATTTACATAGTGGTCAGCTGTGATTGGACACACCTGACCACTGTGGTTGGCCTTTCACCATGTCATGCGATCAGCATGTATCAAAGGACATAGCGATCGACAGCACCGGGTGCATGCCACTAGGGACGTGCGCGGGGCGCGTTCTAGGAGAACGTCATATGACGCCCTCCCAGAACTGGACAAGCGCGCTGTAGCCATCATTATAGTGTAGTAGTAAGGTGGCTAAAGTGACACAGCGCTGTATAGCAAAAAAAAGCGTGGTCATGAAGGAGGTACATTTTCCGGAGCTGAACTGGTTAACCCTTTGAGGACCAAGGGATGTATTTGTCCCATGTTTGTAATTGTGTGTATCTTCTGATAGAACTTAAAACTCTTTTTTTTTTTTGGTTTGAGTCAAAATATTAGTTCTTATCAACAAACAACAAATGGATCTAGCTTTTTGCCAATTATTTCATGAAATGGCTTAGTTACAGCAACTGAAGTGTATGAACTTTAAAAACATAAAAATTGATTCTTTTGGCGTTCCAAAACCTTACGGTCCTCAAAGGGTTAAAGGGTTTTTTGTCTTCCTTTGGATCAACAACGGCTATAGGCTTCGGTATATGGAGGTTTCTGTTGGTTGAGCAAATGATGGACTTGCATCTTTGGTAAACCTATGGTTCTTATGTGGTTTCAGTGCCAACTATGTTTCCAGGATAGACATGACGGAAAAAATATTTGAACGGGTTTGAAGCCTCTCCCTACTATAAACATACCAAGAACTATACTAACTACCCGTGGTGATCTGCTGAAATAAAGACGCAGGAATGCTTTCCTCTTTTCCTTAATAAGAAGAGTTCGTGGCAATACCCCACATTCCCTTCCACTTTATCTTCATTTTCTTGTTCCAAAAAATCTTTATGGAAGCGGTAACATTATAGAATTTTAAAACACTTGTAACAATGTTTGCCATAGTCTGTATATGTTGTTTTCTTTTTTCTTTCACCTAAAAAAAACTAATTATTGAAACTTAATTTATTTGCCTTTACATACACTTAGAAAAATAATTTTGGCACCCAAATCACTGTCTTTCTTCTTTTTTTAAAGTACAGTATATGTACAACATAATAGTGAAAAGATTTGATTTGCCCCTCTGTTTGCTCTGGTGACCATTGTCAACAGGACAGTAAAGGTAGAAAATAAAACATTATAGAGTTGTCACCAAAGCAAGAAAAGGTAGTGACTAGTGATTCCAGAGCAGAGTAATTCCAATTATGGGGCCCCCGGGCAATAGGGGGCCCCTGTGTCCTTGCCCACACTCAAACCACACCCAAAAAAGCCTATGAAAGGTACCAGGGGCATCTCATGGGGCCCCTTACTTACCCCGGGCCCTCGGGCAGTGCCCGAGTTTCCGAATAGTCAGTCTGCCCCTGTTCCAGAGAAAAATGTCTAAGATGGGCTTATCCCCTTCATTTTTTTTAATCAGATGTTTTGAAAATGTTATAATTTTCAGTAAAAATAATGAAATGAAATGAATAATAATATGACCAGAAAAAAAAAACAAAGCAGACAGTTGAAATAGTACTGTTCACTCACACTGGTGGTCTGTAGAGAAATGCTGTCTGTCATGGAATTTGTCAGCTGGTGGTAAGGGGGGACAGGTCCCCTCAGATGGGTGCTCAGTTGGAAAAATAACCCCTTTACATTGGTGGCCATTGAAAGAAAGGCCCATTTAAATTGGGGGTTTGTGGGAAGAATGTTCCTTACATTGGGGGTCAGTAGAAATAAATACTCCTTACATTGGGGGTCAGTGGGAAGAATTCTCCTTACATTGGGGGTTTGTGGGAAGAATGTCACTTGCATTGGTGCCCAGAGAGAAGTATGTCCCTTACATTTATGGTCAATGGGAGAAATGTTCCTTACATGGGGGGTGTGTTGGAAGAATACCTTTTACATTGGTGTTCAGTGGTAAAGATGTTCCTTACATTGGTGGTCAGTGGTTAAGATGTTCCTTATATTGGTGATCAGTGGGAAGAATGCTCCTTACATTGGTGGTCAGTGGGAAGAATGTTCCTTACATTGGTGGTCAGTGGGAAGAATGCTCCTTATATTGGTTGTCAGTGGGAAGAATGTCCCTTACATTGTTATCAGTGAGTGGAATGCCCCTTTCATTGGTGGCTTTGGGAAGAAGGTCCCTTTTATTGGTGGTCAGTGGGAAGAATGTCCTTTTTATTGGTGGTCAGTGGGAAGAATGCCCCTTACATTGGCAGTAGGGTAGGAAGAATGCTCCTTACATTGGTGGTCATTAGGTATATGCCCCTTACATTGGTGGCCATTGGGAAGAATGTCCCTTACATTGATGATCAGTGGGAAGAATGCCCCTTACATTGGCAGTAGGGTAGGAAGAATGCTCCTTACATTGGTGGTCATTAGGTATATGCCCCTTACATTGGTGGCCATTGGGAAGAATGCCCCATACATTGGTGGTCAGTGGGAAGAATGTCCCTTACATTGGTGGTCATTGGGAAGAATGACCCTTACATTGGTGGCCAGTTAGTAGAATGCCCCATACATTGGTGGCCAGTTGGTAGAATGCCCCATACATTGGGGGTCAGTGGGAAGAATGTCCTTTACATTGGTGGTCAGTGGGTAGAATGTCCCTTACATTGGTGGCCAGTGGGAAGAATGTCCCTTACATTGGTGATCAGTGGGAAGAATGTCCCTTACATTGGTGATCAGTGGGAAGAATGTCCCTTACATTGGTGGTCAGTGGGTAGAATGTCCCTTACATTGGTGGCCAGTGGGAAGAATGTCCCTTACATTGGTGATCAGTGGGAAGAATGTCCCTTACATTGGTGATCAGTGGGAAGAATGTCCCTTACATTGGTGATCAGTGGGAAGAATGTCCCTTACATTGGTGGTCAGTGGGTAGAATGTCCCTTACATTGGTGGTCAGTGGGAAAAAATGGCCCATTACAGATAACTAAAAACATGACTGGTGTCCATGGCTACTTATCTGAGAGGCAGAATTTGATATTTGCTCAAGGAACACCTGGTGACCTCTTGAGGAACCCTAGTTGAGAAAGGCTGCTATAGAGAATGGAAACACTATGCTTACCGGGATATAATTATCAATGAAAGGACACAGTGTAGAGAGAGTTTATGTATGGGATGTACCATCAACATACCAACAATTGAACAATAACAAAGAAAGAAAAATAATAAAGAAGAGTGAAAATATAATAATAAGCACCACCTGTTGATCAGCAGGGAGCAGTCCCGTCCCGTCCTGACAGCCGTAAACAATATCCTATACTGCAAGAAACATAAAGAGTAAAGGTCAGGAAAGATGTGACTCCAAATATAAACTCACAATAGACTAAGTGATGCAACACCAGAACCACCCAGTGTGACTTCACAAAATCGATGTTTGAAAAAGAATGAGGAGCGTGATGTTAATTGATCGCCTCTGGGCAGCATACTAGTTGAAGAACACCAAGTTTTTGAGTCTGGGTTTGGCTTCTTGGTATGACAATAATGAAGTGGACATCTGCACACCATCAATCCATGGGAAATGGTCTACTTTTTAGACCCAGTAGGACCCAATTATCTTTTTAAATTTGGATGAATTCCCCACCCCAAATGCTTGTGCTTTTCAAATGCATGCAACTGGAGCATCTCCTTCAACAAGTCCCCAAGAGTCAGAGACGTCAGTGAGATCCAACTCTTAGCAAGCATTCTCTCAATTTTTGAGAGACTTCCTTTCATTCCAAGAAAGGAGGTAAAGGGAAACCGCCTGAGCAGGACACACCCAATAAACATTTACCAGTTAGGGGTTTAACTAAAAAATGTAAAGTTAGAGAAATTCTGTCCATTTGGGCCCAACTGCAACTACATTTCAAGGTCCACTCATTTTACAGACCACTCCCTTTCCGGCAACGAAGGTTAACTGTACTGCGTATCCTCCTCCTGCACAAGTTAGTTGCTACATTATCACTCCGCATGGATGCTTACACGCAGGAGCCTTTCACCAATGAGGCCCAGCGAGGTGATCACATATGAGGGGCGTTCCACCAATGAGGCCCAGCGAGGCGGCCACATTGGAGGGGCGTTCCATCAATGAGGTCCAGTGAGGTGACCGTATTGGAGGGGCGTTCCACCAATGAGGCCCAGTGAGGCGACCGTATTGGAGGGGCGCTCCACCAATGAGGCCAAGCTAGGCGACTGCATTGGAGGGGCGTTCCACCAATGAGGCCCAGAGAGGCGATCACATTGGAGGGGCGTTCCACCAATGAGGCCCAGCGAGGCGACCACATTGGAGAGGCGTTCCATCAATGAGGTCCAGTGAGGCGACTGCATTGGAGGGGCGTTCCACCAATGAGGCCCAGCGAAGCGATCACATTGGAGGGGCGTTCCATCAATGAGGTCCAGTGAGGCGACCGTATTGGAGGGGCGTTCCAGCAACGAGGCCCAGTGAGGCGACCGTATTGGAGGGGCGTTCCACCAATGAGGCCCAGCTAGGCGACTGCATTGGAGGGGCGTTTCACCAATGAGACCCAGCAAAGCGACCGCATTGGAGGGGCATTCCACCAATGAGGCCCAGCGAGGCAACCGTATTGGAGGAGCGTTTCACCAATGAGGCCCAGCAAGGTGACCTCATTGGAGGGGCGTTCCACCAATGAGGCCCAGCGAGGTGACCTCATTGGAGGGGCATTCCACCAATGAGGCCCAGCGAGGTGACCATATTGCAGGGACATTCCACCAATGAGGCTCAACGAGGCGACTGCATTGGAGGGGCATTCCATCAATGAGGCCCAGCGAGGCGACCGCATTGGAGTGGCATTCCACCAATGAGGCCCAGCGAGGTGACTGCATTGGGAGGCTATAATACCCTCACTGCAGCTCAGTACCGTTACCCTATATGCACAGAGCAGTGCTACTAAACTGATTTTTGGTGGCTTGGCTTCACAGCGTTATTGGTTGCCCACCTGCACCATAAAAACCCACGATGCTGGTTGACGACCAAGGACGATCCAGCCACCTGCATCCTGCGTCATGTGTATGGATGAAGGGGGTCAGACGTCATGTGTATGGAGTAAGGGGGTCAGACGTCATGTGTATGGAGTGAGGGGGGTCAGCAGGGGTGGACTGACAACTCATGGGGACCCCGGGCAATAGGGGACCATGGGGTCCCTGCGTCCTTGCCCAAACTCAAAAAAGCCTATGAAAAAGGTACCAGGGGCATCTAATGGGGCCCCCTACTGACCCCGGGCCCTCAGCCAGTGCCTGAGTTTCCAAATGGTCAGTCCACCCCTGGGGGTCAGATGCCATGCCATGTGTATGGAGTGTGGACGGGGGAGTGAGGGGGTCGGACGTCATGTGTATGGAGTGAGGGGGTCAGGCGTCTTGTGTATGGAGTGAGGGGGTCAGACGTCATGTGTATGGAGTGAGGGGGTTGGGTCATGTGTACGACGCCATCATGTGTATGGAGTGAGGGGGTCAGGCGTCTTGTGTATGGAGTGAGGGGGTCGTCAGACGTCATGTGTATGGAGTCAAGGGGTGTGTATGGAGTCAAGGGGTCAGATGTCATGTGTATGTGTATGGAGCGAGGGGGTCGGATGAGGGGGCTGGACCTTGGATGTCGTCATGTTTCGTGATAATGGATTCTAGGTTGGTTTAGGGGTATGCGGCTCTGTAGACAGCATAATGTAGGGAATGTAGAGCGTCATGTCGGACCGGTCTGTCTGACACCATAAATCATGTTTCCTGAGTTTTCTTTGGTTATGTACAGTACAGGCGTCCCATTGTACATTTGTATTATGACCTGTATTTACAGTTGTGTCCAAAATTATTCAACCCCCACTGAAATTGAGTCCAGTTTGACATTGCTTTTGATCATTCAGTCATCTTGCTTACATTTACATTAAAGGGCACTTGTAGGTCAGACAAATATAACATAACAGTTATAATGAAATAACACAAATGTCTTTTCGTGCTCACAGCATTATCAGTTTTATTCAACCCCCAGTGTTCAATCTTAGTACTTAGTACAGCATCCTTTTACAGTTAAACAGGGTGAAGCAGATTGTCTTGCAGCGATCTACGTATCTTCGCCCATTCTTCATGGAGCAAAGGCCTCCAGTTCAGGGCTTGCGCACTGCAACTGCTTTCAAGTCCCACCAGAGGAGCGTCTGGTGACTGCGATGGCCACTCCAAAATGTTCCAGCCTTTCCTCTGCAACCATGTCTATGGACTGTATGCTTGGGATCATTGTCCTGTTGAAAGGGCCTCAGGTCGGACTGCATCACGTTTCCATCCAATATCTCCTGTGAAGAGAATTCATGGTACCTGGCTGAAGCTTCCCTGTACCTGCAGTGATGTCCACCATGCTTCACAGGGGTGTTCCATCATGCAGTTCTTCCTCCTCCAAACATAGCGTTGATCCATGGAAACAGTTCTAAATTTTGTTTCATCATCCACAGAACACTATCCCACAACTTTTGTGGTTTAGGCTTTTGTACTGCAGTCGACTTTCTTATTCTTTGGAGACAGCAAGGGGGTACGCCTGGTTCTGGCACGGAGGCCTTCATTACGCAGTGTGCTCTTATTGTCTGGGCTGAAACTTCTGTACCCACATCTGACAAATCTTTTCTCAGTTCCTCAGCAGTCACACGGGGACTTCTCTCCACTCTACGTTCAGGTAGCGCACAGCAGTCGAAGTCAGCATCTTCTTTCTGCCACGACCAGGTAGCGTTTCAACAGTGCCCTTTGCCTTGAATTTGCGAATGATGCTTCCTAAGGTGTCTCTTGGTATGTTTAACATCTTTGCAATCTTCTTAAGCCATTGCCCTTCCTGTGAGAGAAATCACCTCTTCTCTTGTCTTCCTGACCATTCTCTTGCCTTCACCATTTTGTAACCACACCAGTAAATGAGAAGGAGCAGTATCACAGTCATTTTAAAGCTGCCTTGCATTATGTTATGTGCTCGGTGACATCCACAGTGTTTTCAATACCTGATGGAAAGCATGTATGAACCTCTGAAGAGTGGTAGTGGGGTTGATAATTGTGGCAATGAAGAAACCACATATACTCATAAAATGTACATTTGGGTAGTTACAACGTCCTTGTAGGATTTGATTCTTACAATTCAAATGTACACTATAGTCCCTAAACCCCTTTACCATTTACGGTGTCCCAAAATATTCAACCCCCACTGAAATTGAGTGTTTTTGGCCTTGAGGAACTTGTAGGTCACATTCTTATAATGGTTTTTCTGTGGGAATACTTAGTTCCTTTTTACAGTTATAACAGCTTTCTTAAACGTGAAGCATTACGCTTGCACAATGTGTCTTGCAGCGATCTTCCGGTTCTTTTCGCCCATTTTCATGGGACAAAGGCCTCCAGTTCAGTCAATTTTGGACATGGACTTATAGGACAAGCAATATAGGGAGCGCTTACATTGTGCACATGAGACCCTGGCCCCAGGAGCTTACAATCT